TTGCCAGAGAAGGAAGAGACGGGCAGGACCAGCCAGTCTCAAACACCGTCACGGGGCCAGTCACTGGGACACAAGCTGACTCTGCCACCCAGCTCCTACAAGTTTCTCAGGCTGGAGGTGTAGAAACCCCAGGTCTTTCACCTATTTCACTACTCAATGTGAGGAGCAGGAAGTTCATTTAAGGATCTTTAATTCCTGTATTGCTTCACCCCCAAGATACCAGGCACAGCCAGTGCAAACCCTGACTACCCTTGTCTCCATGCAAGGCTGTGAGCTCACCCGTGGAGTATGCAGCCTGCTGCAAATGGTCCTTTGTATACCCCTACTTTTATGAAACTAAGCAGCATAACAAAATGAAAAGCTATAAAAGCCAATGCACTGGCTGCAACACTTTTGTGCAGCACATTGGTCACAACAGTGTCCCTCATCATCTAGCATTAAATACTAATTTGTCATGGGACAGAGAAAAGGTTAATTGTTGCTCTGCTATAAGACCACTACCCTTCCCCCCCCAGTCAGGAAAGAAGTATGTACCTGTTACCTATCAACTTGCTCCCTCTGTCTCTCCCTGCTCCTCACTTTTGGTGTCTTTCTTTCTGGAACTCCCTTTGCAAAGAGCGGAGAAAGCCTTCTGCTGAGGGAAACCAGTAGAGTTGGTCAGTCTCCCAGATTATCAAGCTGAGCTGCCTGTGGACAGCTGATTGATAGCCGTCCACTTCCTTCATCAGCGAGGAAAGAAGGAACCTTTCACAGATGAAGAAAAGGACGGAGGGTGGAGGGAAATGTGTATCTCCTGTTACACAGCTGCTGCTCATGAGCGAGGAAGGGGAAGAGTGGGAGGGATACTGAAAAAAAAAAAAAATCCTAAACCAAAGAAATCCTAACAGTAGAGAAAAGTCCTATACAGACAGTAAAAAGGCCAGACAGGTACCATGCATACTTGGAAGGAGAACTGTGATCCAATTTAGATGCAAAGTAAATCTGTACCCATGGAAAAGGCATAGTGTGTAAATTAGAGGTCTGCCCCAGGGAAATGATTCCAGTCACTAAAACGCAAGATCTATGTCTCGGCTAGCATAAACCCTATTGTATAGCACCAGAAAGAAAACAAAACAAAACAAAACAGCCTTTTCCACCTCTTCACTTTTAGTTAGAGCAAAGCAGGAATTTGTTTCAGATTACCGGTATCTTTACTGACCTTCATGGCATAGTCCTATCAGGAGCTTCCTGCGTGCAAGACAGAGGAAATAACACCTCTGTATAACTGGAGAACTGCAGTTCCCCTTCCCTCACTGATCTGAAACATATACTTGAAAGGAGTCTACCTTCTATTAATATATTTTAATCTGCATGCCATCAACCCCTGTGCTCCCATCAGGCTCACGCGGGGGCCTCTCTGCTATTCCAGAATTACTTGCGAACTGAGAAGGGGCATCAGCTCAATTTCCAGATGTCACAGCCCATCAGATCTTCCTTCCTAGACAGATCTGCTCCCCCCTCTCCCTTCGTCAGTGCCCAACTCCCAGCTCTGCTCAGGCATCCTGATCCTAGGGACCAGTATAATCTATTATTGCATGTGGCTGGCACAGAGCAAAAATATAGATGGGAGAGGGCTAACTCCCAGCATGGAGAGCCAAATGGCTCTTTCACATCAGGAGATAGAAATGAACTGAGAAAAGGGGAAGGTGGAAGGAGCACAGGGGGCTGTCACAGCATCTATTATTGAACTAATTGCTTTGGGAAACTCTACGGGTATTTAGCAAGCAGTGCTGAAGTGTAGTTTTCCAGTTCTTTTATTAAAAATCAGTTCAATTTTTTCCTTCATCTGTAACATATGCTGAGGGTCCCTGCTCTATTCTCCAACACAATGCTGGGGGAAAAGAGGATGAAAAGAGAGAATTAATAAAACAGTAGCGCTTTCCAGAGAATATGCAACAGATGGAAGAGAAAAGCCTAAGAAGAAAGTGCATACTGTACCAGCAGTATAATTAAACAGCCATTCCAACCACAGTCCATTTCTGCAAATGTGAAAAAACCCTGGCTACGTCAATCCTGATATTTTGGCTATTACTACTATTTATCAAGCTGTCATATCACACATTATATAAGTGGGATCTATTTGTGTCTCTATCCTGCCCAGACAAAATGCCGTAAAGCTCTTGCAGATTAGGAATACACGTCAGCATTTCCTCTCCCTTTCAGCGCTGCCTAGGGAAGAGGTCCCTGATGACCTTTCAACAATAACGTATCAGATCAGGACTTGGCATGTGGGAAACATGCTACCTCCACAAAAGTGCTGAGGAGGTACTTTTGCCCATTTAGTCTATCTTGTTTGTTAGCTATCTACCTCATTTTACTCTCCCTTCAGACACAAATACCTGTATGCATTCTACCCCATTTTGGGTCCTACCCGGTGGTAGCTATACTGCCTTTCAGGCGATGGGCATCCCAAGAGGGAGTTCTGAGTTGGCCTTTGTGTGTGTTTGCATGCATATAACAGATAGGAGGTTTATGATAACAGTACCATACACAAGAAGCAAGAAGCCTCTAAGTTATCCATCATCAAGATAACAGTGATGAGATGAGACTATTCAGATGCTGTATACTGGAAAACAGGAAAAAATAGCCATTTTCTTGTAAAGGACCTTGTTTCTCCCTCTCTGCTGTGTGCTGCTTTTTGCACACAGGCCAAGCTGCCGTGTGTCTGCTCTGTTAGCTCAGGGCTAGACAGAGAAATCCCCTCCAAGGGCCACTGCAAGGAGTGCATGAGAAGGAAAAGAATATACAAAACTACTAGATACTATTACATACTGTAACAAGTTATTACATGTTGCAAGCTGTTACAGGGTACAACTAGCAACTGGGTCTGATGAGGTGCAGCTTGGTTCTGCATGGTGCTACGGCTGTTTTTGTTCTTTTTCAGTGTGTAACGACTAAATATTTTAATCTTATTGGCACTACCTTGAAAATGAATTATCTAGAGCGTTCTGACTGTTCTGGTATTGTACAATACTGGTCTCTTAAGCCTCTGTTGTGTTATTCCGCCACTGTGTGTCACTATTAAGACAGAACAACAAAGAGAGATTTTAGGGAGGCTGATAAAGTTCTGGTGGTGATGGACCTGGTACCTAGAGCCCCCATTAGAGCTACCCTCGTTCCTTCAGTATTGATAGTCTCAAACCTGGAGCACAAAGCTGAATGGCAAGCCCAATGCAGCTGACAGAGAAAAAAACAGAAGAAACCACTAGGAGATGATTATTTGTGGGAACTGTCATGTGCTAACACAGCCCAGTAGGGACTGGCAATGCAGACTTTGGCCCAGTATGTGCTAATTTGGACAAAATCTGCTAGGGAGTCTAGTTCAGAGCTGGGTACCTCATGTGTATTAGACTTCCACTTATGCCTGTTTGTAGCATACCCTTGCTGATATGTGTTACTTTTATCCTAGCTTGGCTAACCAAGGCTGAAGAAACCCATAGTGGCAGCCCAGAAACACAATACAGGTTTTAAGGGAAAAATTTAGTTGTACAGGCACAATTGGACAACAGGTAGACTGAGATGCATTCTCCTGAGAATCTTTTTTCCACCTCTAAAGGGGAACAGATGTCTAAAGGAAACTTGTGCCCTTTCTTAAAAGAAGATAATTACAAAGTACAACTTTCTGCTCACCAAAACAGAACTTTCTCCTGACTTCCCATCCTGTCTCAGTACATAACCTACGTGTGTGCTATAGTAAATTCTAAAGTTATTACTTCTCATTTTAAAGTCACATCTTTGCAAAAGATGAACAGAAGAACAAAGGGAGATACTTATCTATTACAAGCACCTCCCAAATATAGCATTAAGGGCTTGCACATTCTGTGACCTGACACAGGGAAAAATACTTACACCCAGTAAAGCAGCATCAGCAGAAAAGGACAGATGATGACTGCCTGGAGGACCTGCCAGTCCCTGCAGAGGGCAGCCAGCCCGGGCATGAGGAACTGCCCCGCCATTTCGATGAAACTTGCCACCATCGTGATCATGAACCGGTGCCCAGGTGGACAGAGCTCTATCCCTGAAACACAGAGCACACGCATTAGCAACCCCTCAGTGAAGGCACCAACAGAGTATCTCCAACCTGGTCACCTGCCTATTTTAATGAACTTTCATGGACCCAGTGTTCTTTGAGATCTTTGGCCAAAGTTATGCATTACCACATAAACCTTGTTTTGCCATTTATTTAGGCTTCAAATACTCTAGCAATGATAGAGGAGCTCATGAGCAGCTGGCTGTGGCACTGACACTAGGTTTTCCACACACCCGCTGCATCTCCTGTAGATCTGCTATATCCTAATTGCAAACCTTTATCCAGCCTGTGCCCAGGGAAGCATTTTACCAAAAGGTAAAATATTTGTTTAAGGACAATGCAGGGTAAAACACAATCCAGTGATTTTAGGTCCAGCCTTTTCACAGCTCTGAGAGATACCACATGTCTTTCAATCAATGTGCTGAGGAGACAGAAGAGCACAGCTCTCAGCAGGATATAGACTCCCAGCTCATATGGGATGCCACCTGCCCACCAGCTTAATATGCTACGATTCAGCCGGTTTCATGCTGGATTTTGCTGAGTGGGTTGATTCTGGGTTTTCTTTTTGTTTTTGTAACTGCTAAACTTGGTCAACTTTCCAACAAGACAGCCTTCCATCTGTTTTATCCTGTCCTCCATCCCTTCTTTTGCTGTAGGGCAATTTACCACCATCATTGCTATCATCGGTTGTCTCAGCTGCCTTGTGACAAGTTAGTTCAGTAGATAAAAGCTTCCTTAAAATGCCTGAATTCTGGCCATGCCAGAATTCTCCAGAAATGAAGATGAATTTATCAGAAACACATAAGAAAACAAAACAAAAAAAAAGCAAAACAAAAAAACCCAAAACACACAGCACAGAAGAGATAGCAATAACATTGGACTGTCTTGTGCAAGTATATTCTAATATAAATGATTTTTTCCCCAGTAAGTATTACAACAGAACTCTCTCTTTCACATTACACTCTTTTCCATAAATTAATAATTCAGTACAATAAATCTGCCCCAAGTGTTCTGTAGTACCTATCAGCTAGCTGATGAAGAAATATAGGCTTGTAAACATACATGTCATCACGATACATTGCTGTCAGCATTGGTGTTTTTCCTTGGGATGTTTCCTACAGTTGTTTTAAATTATAATTTATTGGTTGTTAAAATTATAATTGAAAAGCCATAGACAATAGAAAGAGGAGGAGATGGTAGCTGCTCATTCATTTACTCTCTCATCTGTAGCTTGTTCAGCATTTGTCACTGTAATATAGATTTAAACTAGCTGACCAGGAACTAGCTTGTAGATCAAATATAGCATTAAACACCACACATTGATTTTTTTTTTCTCTTGGCCAATGACAAAAACTATGGATGGATTTTTGCCTATACGGAAGAAAAATTTTGTGAGGCCACCCAAATTTTCATTAGCTTAACCACACCAGCTTTTGGAAAGGAGGAAGGGGAGAAAAAACCCTCAAAAACTGTCACTTGCTATAAAAGGCTTTTACCTTTTAATTAGGAAAACAAGATTAAAACATAGAGCTTCTTATGACTTTAATATAGCTTCATTCCTACTCATGAAGCACCCCAAGCATAGGTGATTTCTTACTCTATGCAAAGAGGTCATTTCCATTTTATTTTTCTAATCTTCAAATATAAAGTGGTTCTGTTCATTTTCTAAACCTTAAAGTCATAGTTACTCAAGCTCCAGTATTCCTTCATTAAGTACAAGGACGAGTTTTGTTGCTATAGAAACAGGAAGTCTACATTAGGTAGGTAAGAGTTTGCCATTTCAATTGCATTGCTTAGGTTAGTATCAGATAAAAAAATTACTGAGACAAGAACAACTTTTAGATGAAGTCAGAAAGATATGTCAAAATAACAAAATTACATTTTTTGAGTCACTGGTGCACAATCCATATAACTCCATATGCCACAGTTATTCATTGTAGAAAAAGGAAACAACTTCAGAGATTATTTTATATCCATTTTATTCTCTGGATTATCATACGTATATGATCAAATTTTGCCCTTTCCTCCAGAAAAGCTGGATAGGAAAAAAAATCCCTACTGTAGCTGAGCGAGTGTGACTTTCAAGTGACACCAGCAGGCATTCTCTGTACACGAAATACTACATCACTGTTAAAATGTTCTATACATTAGGACAGTCTACTGACTTTCCAAAACCTCTGGCACCAACTTTATATGATAAAAGATTCAGCGCTGTGGTTTTTAGTAAGCATTTTACAGTCAAGGTTTTTCAGCTTTGTCAGTCACTGCGGGACCTCTGCCCCAGCAGCAGGAAAGGCTTCCTGCACCCCGCTAACGCTCACACCGGTAGCATGACGTACGCAGGCATGAGGCCTCTGGGACCACACCAACCTCCGCTCAGCTCACAGACAAAATTATTGGCTCAGATAAAATCACCACAAGACAGAGATCAGCTTTACCCATCCTAGGCAAATCCAAAAAGAGAGCTCCAGTTCTCCCACCAGCACAAAGGTTTTCACCCTGACTATTTTATTGACCAAAGCGTCATACAAGCAAACTACAGAAATGACCATCATCATCAAAAACTCTTGGATACACCTATCTTCTCTGCTTGGAAAATTTTGTCTGGGCAAGGGGACAGATGTGGAAAGAATTTTGCTTATTTGTCCAGCATTTCTAGTCCGTAGGCAGCACAGTCAGCAGAAGATCCTACTCGGATGCCTGATTTCTGGAAGTGCCAGGCAAATGACCATACAGGCCAGTTGTCACCTGCATGCAAAGCAATCCTGCAGTACCTAGGCAGGGAGATCAGACTTGTCCAGGGTACATGAGGCAGATCCTCTCACAGTCTGTAGATGCCCAGTAGCATAGTGGACCTAAGCGTGCAGCACAAATGCATAAGTTAGATGCAGCCAAACTGCATGGCAGAAGGTCCCCACGTTTGCTGCTAAATACTATGGACCCAGAAGGAAATAGCCTTGTCATGTGCGCGCTGCAGAACGGGCCGCTGTATGCATAATAAATACAAATTCAGAACACACTAGACTCATTGCATGGCACAAGCTTCTGGCTGGGAAATGCAGAAAGGAAATGTAAAAATCCTGCTTTTGGACCCTATTCTTTAAGTGATTCCACTTACAAATATGGCCAAATCAATGTTCACCAGTTTCACAGCCTACAAACCTGCAACAGGGAGAACCAGTGTCAAACATATCCCTTCTTACAAGAGAATCAAGCATTTTTGGTTGCACAGCTTTCGGGTGGCTGTTTGATGCATTTGAAGAAACCCAGCCACCAAACCTGCAAGATGTACAGAGAAATGCTGCAGTGCTGAAGTGACAATACTGGAACCAGACACATTACGACTCTGAATGCAGCAATTTGTAATAGAAGTATTAAGATGGGTGATGAACAAAGGATGAGTGGAAGTGTGTGTGTGTGTGAGCAAGCATATGCAAGCAAACAGGCACCAGAAGTGGCAGAACAAGGGTTAAGGGAATGGTATGTGTCCATTGTTACAGAGCACCCTACCTGTGATTTCATCAAATAACAAAAGGAGGAGGAACAAACTCACCTACAGATAAGCTATCAAGAAGATGAAGAACAGGACTGAAGTCCTAAAATGGGGGGGTGGGGGGTGGAGGGTGAACAGGACTGTGAAATTCAGGAGTTTTGCTGATAACTATGCTGGATGAGAAAAAAAATAATGAAGCAAAAAATCATAAATGACACCAACTCCTAAAGGATATGAGAGGCAAAACCAAAATCAGTTTGTTGTTCCCTGCCACGAACAACCTCAGGGATGAAGACTCAGTGGCCACCTCTCCCTGTCCCCAGTATCACACAAGCGATCCTAGCCAGACTACAAGTGCACAGGCATGTGGGTACTCATGAGCGCGTGGGTGTGAGAGCATGAATGAAAGAAATCTATGAGAGAAAAAGCATGACTGTGTAAAGTCTACTTACCTAGAGATTTTGTAAAAGAAAAGTACCACTTTGTCCTTCTGTAAAGTCTCTCATTGAGTTTAGTTACATTGATTTCCTACGTGAAAATCAGGATGTATGTAGTCAAATGGAAACAGCACTATTTTAAAATATAAAACTCACACAGGTAGGCAAGTACAGTGCCTATTTCTTAATGCCACAAGCCTGCATAGGAATATATTTTATTCCATAACTTAAAAGCAGACTGTGGACTATATCATATGGTGAATATGACAGTTAAGAATGAATATATTATCCAGCATGCTATTTAGAAATCTCACGGGAAATCTTTTGAAATATTAACCAAAAGAATAAGAACCACAGCAGCAACACTGGTTGTTCCTCATGACAAAGGCAGAGCTCAGAAAAAGGACTTTCAAACCAATATTTTTGGTATTCCAACCTAGAGGATGGATTTCAGGCATTCGCCTTCAGCGCGCTCAGACTAGCTCCCTCAGTAACGCACACATCAGCCTTTTTGCTTGCTCTCTATTATGGCAGTAATGGCCCTGCTTGACCCGTAACAGAGCCATCTGCACCAACTACGATGCCTTAGCTAAACTTTCTAAATAACACACTGGGGAAAAGCTTCACTGAGGAGAGCCCTCTACCCCAAAGCTCCCCACGCTTCCTCCGAGAGCCTGCTCTGGAGATGCCCTGGGCTGGCCCCTCTCACTAGTGCACCCACACCAGAGCAGAGCCAACCTGTGCTTTCAGGGGAGTTAAGTTTCACAGTGGGCGCTGATCCACCTTGCATATTATATCACAAGTGATCCACCTTGCATATTATATCACAACAGTGACAAGTTTCAAATAAGATTTTGTTGATGGACCATAATGCAGAAACGACTAAAGGGGAGAAATTTATTGTTACCTCCTAAGAGTCAGTCCGTAGCAGGCCATCACAGACAGAGCAGACTAAAGACCTGCCAAGCAGGTTTTGGAATACTGAAAATACTTTTCTTTAAATAGGTTTTATTTTCTCTTCCTCACGCACCCGGACACATAACATCCCACTGCGTTTC